TAATGCTTGCCATGACATCAAAGGCAAATTATGAATGGATAGTCGAGCATGTAAATACAGCTGTGTGTAGGGTTTTCGTGAGTAGATTCAAGAAACCAACATTGAATAACCCAAGAGTTGAGAAAAAATCACTGGTGAATATGTTGAGGTTTGTTTTCTAGAATATTAAAACTTACATGAAAATAGACAAAAGTTTTCTGGTATTGGATAGTAGAGTCAAACTTTCGTCAGCTTGAGGTTTTATTGAAGGAAATTGAAAAGGAAAACAGAGCTCTCTTTTACAATTACTGATATAACAAACAGTCTCAAATTTGAAAGAATGGATTTTAGAATAGTGTATGGATTTTTGGATATTAGGAGTGATGAAGAATATATACTCGAAATGCAAGTAGAGACTCTTCCTATTAAAATTACAGATGATGATTTATTCAATTCATAAACTAGCTCAGATACTTCCACAAGAATAATCATTGAAGATGAACCTTTGGGTTATAACTTGAAAGAATTGGAACTTGACGACATACCTCTCACAAAGAATAAGCTTTTCAAAATTTTAACCAAGACTAGAAAATTAGAAACACTGGTTCTCAATTTGAAACAAGAAGTTTTCATTCCAGTGGGAGGAGGTAGAGGAAAGTGGGGAAAGGGAGGAGGTATTCTAACATCACTACTTGATGATTCGATCGATGAAAAAGAGGAAGCTTTTGATGACAATTTTATCTACGTACCTATTCTGGAAGATCTCAAAACCTTACTCATTCACCAGGGATTGAATAGTAATACGTTTCTTTTTGAATTACTTCCCTTGTGTCCAAACTGGAAGCCCTTTTTATTACTGCCGCGAAAATGTTGGCAACGAACTACTTGAGGTTATTTCCAAGTTTTGCCCAAAATTGAAAACACTTTCTATCAATAGTGATAATAGTTTAGGTCAATTAGAATTGGCCTTGGAAAATTCTTGGAAAAACAATCAAACATTGAAGAAATAGATGTACAACCTGTTTCATTTATCTCTGGTGCGATATTGAAAAGACTGGGAGACTTTCCAAAATTGAAAAGTTTCACAGCTCGAAGAATGTGGTATGAAGGGGAATATTCAAGACAAGAAGAAGATATCTATTTTGGAGGAAAACCAAATCCTAACTTGGAATTTGTTGATATTGGTCCATCATATGAATTCACTGATGAACAATTTGAAAAATTAATTAATTCTTTACAAACTCTTGCCCCAAATCTTAAAGATTGGGGAGATCTTGGAGAAAAAAATACCGATCCCCCAAGGAATATTGTCAAACACTTTGTCAACTCTGTGGAAGCCATTGATGTCAATTCAAATAATATTGCAACATTACCGTCATGTAAAAATTTAAAGACTGTATTCTGGATGTCAGAAATAGAGATACCAGACAATCTTAATTCCAATCCAAATGTGTCAGAATTGATCATACTTCAAGATGGAAAGGAAACCTATTCAAAAATGTCACTACTTTTTCCCAATGTGAATATCTTGAATGCTTCTGGTTGTGACTCTATTGAGTATTTGATTGAAAATATCACTAGTTGGCCACAACTTGTACACTTAATAGTACCATTCACACCCGATTCTGCAACATTAGAACCCTATCATCTCAAAGC